TGAAATATTGTCAAAACATTGCATATGAAATATCCATTTCAGTCTAGTATTTAAATGGACCATTTTTAACAATTTGTATTAATTTTTAAACAATTCCGTATAACTATTCATATAATTCTTTTGTGGGCTTTTTACAATCGCTGAAAATAAAATACCAATATTAAGGACAAATAAAAAAAATTTGCCTCTCGCTAAAATTTCCAAACACATGATATATCATTGTCCTAAAGGCTACTTAATTTGTCAATTAAAAAGAAGAATTGTTTTATGTAAGATGATCATCATTTTCTTTTAAAATCTCCCGACACATATAATACAATAAAGAATCGATAAAATGTAACAAGTTACCCTTAATGCATCAAGAGCAAACTAAACGTTACAATTTACCCTTATTGCATCAAGAGTAAACTGACTCTCGTTTAATAAATACAAGGGTTGACAGGCAAAATTGTTGACAAAGCGTTTTTATCGAAAAATAATGTGCTGGAATTCTCAGCAATACATGCATATTACAAATATCTGTGATTACAGCTTTCTTTTTTTAAATTACACTTACCAGCTCTTTTTCCTGATATACAAATCATTTCTCTAAAAAATATTCTTTATGCATTAAGATGCGATTTATCTCTTAAATACAGTAGGAATAAAGGTTTAATCATGAACTTATAAAACAATCCAATAAAGATAAAGGTATTTTTTATATCTATAAGTTTCTATATGTGTTTTAACATTAATTGTGCTTTTAATTTGACCTTACTAGTTGACTACTGTGCACTTCAGTATGAAGCATTGACGTTTAGAGTCTCATCTACGTGCCTAGATTTGCTGTTACCTTGTACTATACCTTAAATGTTGTGACATTAATAAGATGTTCATTCACTTCCTAAATATACATTACTCATTTAGTTACTGTTTATCAACACCACCAAACAACGGTAAGGAAAACCATTGACGTTTCTAATTTCACAATTTCCCATCTACCAATTGCAAGTATGTACCATTCAAAGAGAGTTGTCATCATTTCAGTGGGGACAGCAGTGATATGTATGTTCATCCTGTGCATTGTCTATGAGATACGAGTATATCGAAAAAGTTTGCATAAAAAAAATGAAGAGCAAACCGTTGAAGGCGTTTATTCGGATCTTATGGAACTTAATGTTGAAGACAATCGTGGAGAAAATTGATACAGCCAATGATAAGTTCTTGGTAGACTAGGAAGATATCGTGATTCTTTCTATTGTCATTTAAATTTTTTTTTTTTATATATTAAATGATAATGTTTGTTGCCCGCAAAATGCAAATGAATGTTTTCATTTTAACATTTTAAGTTCCATTTACGGGAAAGGAACAGTTCACAGACAAAATTAGTCTCATCTGTTACGAATCGTAACATAACACTTGAACAGGTGGTGTTTTTTTTTCTTTTTTTTTTTTTTGGTTAATCAGGACATTTTTTGGATTGCATATATCTTTTTTGATAATTATAGCCGTATAACATAACATACGAGGGGTTATTAAAAAGTTAGTGGACCAGCGCCATTAAATTAAAACCAATTGAAGTTTTAACCATTTTGCTTTTCGTCATAAAATTCACCTGCCTTGGTATACTTTTTAAAAGTTTATATTACACTTTAAGCAACAAACTAACATATTTTGAATTTTGTTTTCATCTGTAAACCTTTAATGATTGTGATTTGTCAATATTTGATATTTATTGAAATATTAACCAATAACAGTCTTTTTTCATTTTCGGAGTCCAAGGAGAAAAAAAATGCAAAGAATTATCCACTTTTCTATACCTTTGTTATGATATTAAGTCTCCTCCAAAGAAAAAAATGTTGGTGTCACCTGTCCTTAATGGACTTTTTACCTGTTCGCTATCTCAATATATTTCGTACATACATACAGAAATGCACATTAAAATGTTTGAGTTTCATTTGTGGTTTGAGGAAACAAACTACAATTATACAAAAAATCCGACCTAATTCTGTGTTAAAAGAGAAATACAATTTCAAAAATATATCACGAGTTTGTAATCTTAGTACGGCAAATATGGTTTTCACTTTTTAAAACAACAATATCATTGATGTCTTATAACTGAACATTCCTTTAGTTTCAAATACGTATAGTAATTGCTATTTATTATGATGTCAGAAAACTTATAAGAGGATACTTGTCTTAAGACAATCTATGCCAATTCAGTTAAGTTTTGTTTAAGAATATGTTTATAGATTATGATTTTTTTCATATAGTTACATGTACCTCCAATTTGTAAACCGAATTTGGGCAATATTTTTCTGTCGGTATGAACAACTTCATTTCTTTTGAGAATTCATAAATTTTCCAACTTCTGGAAGATAAGGTCTTCCAATAATTTGTCAGATTTCCGGGGATACCAGTTTCGCCTGGTTAGTACAAAACCTTATTCATATTATTCAAAATTTACCCAAAGAAGAAAACGCTTGTTGTGGCCTTCATCTTAACATTTAGAAGCTAGTATACCGACGAGCAATTATTAATTAAGCATTGTTACTTTTATTCATACTCTAAATCAATATATCTCAAAGCATTTGAGATAAACGATATCTCAGAATCATCCACATCCTTTTTTTAAAAAAATGTTTATGGTAGCCTATATAAAAAATTTACGATAAATTACTTCAACTTTTCTTTCGCTAGCTTCCCTTACAATGAACTTATGTCACAATATACATGTACCCTTAACACCTGCAGAGATGGGGCTTATTTCTGTTTTTTATGCTCGAACATGAAAGGAATGCTTACTCATCCACGGCATCTGATCTCTGATGTTTTAGAGATTCGTGTTTGTTCTGCTCCATATTTGCATTTTTGGAATGGAATCTTCATTGGAACAACTTGATACTATTTAAAAGATAAGAAATACAAAGGTTTGTTACAGTCATGTTTTAAAAGAAAAACATGTATGTAAACGCTTTGCATAAGGTATGACTGTTAAAAAAGGCGATTAATCATCCTCATATTTATTCGAATGAATACATTTTTATTAATTTGTTTATTCCCAATTCCTTTAATATTTACTCCTTAACTCAATCGTTATCCAGAAAATTTCAAAAAATAATTTCTTTTAAATTTAAAAGTTGACTTCATCATCCTTTTTATATTTTTAAATAGAATAAATAACATATAGAAAATATGGTTTTAAACGACCCTTACGTGCGTTCCTAAACTAATTGTGGAAAAATATGTTAAATTTAACTGCAGATCATCTTGAATATACAATGTTTGCAAACCATTGATACTTACAATTACTTAATATACAGAACTATCTTATATAATTGCCCCAGAATGCGCTAGTCCTTTCCATTCATGTTTATAAGCAAACATTTTTCAATGAAATATGATGATACGAAAAGTAATCAATCTCAAATCTGCATTTAAACATTAGAAATCAGGAGCAGAGCAAACACAGATATCGGAAACATCAGAGGTGGGATCAGGTGCCATGGAGAAGTGAGCATCCCCTGGGGTCCTGTCACATATGCCATGTGTTACTTGGCATGATTGGAAAAAAACGGGAAAATCCGAAGACAATTCAGTGTGAAAATAATGACCTAAAATTAGCCTGAAATTTAATTCCGAATAAGCGTATTACTAACATGACTAATTTTCAATTTTGAAAATTGTTCAGATTGAGTATTTGATAGAAATACAGCAGATAAATGTAATCTTCAATTAGAAAACAAAAGCAGTATTTTCAAACTGGAAAAAATAACATCTGTATCTAAATTTATTAAGATATTAATCACTGACTTACTGGACTGATTGTTTAAATACAAGTACAACTGTATAACTGCACCTATCTTCTTCACGGAATATAAAGCAATTTAAAAGAAAGGACAAGAATGCAGAAAATTGAAATGCTTGGAGGTGTTTATTTCAGATAAGAAAAACCACGTATTCAAAGAAATATAACAAATTAAGAAAGCACTCATAAAGAAGCAGTTAAAGTATAATATGAAACAAAAGATATTTATACTTGTTAATTATATGGACTTTCCTGAATCAATGGTACAGGTATAATTATTTTAAAATATACCTGTATGTATTTCAATACTCTTCAATAAAACATTTCATACTATGATTAGGTAATGTAAAATATGTATAATTTATAAACACAGGTAATAAACATTCTTATCAAAGAATACATGTACCAGATTGTCAACGAAAATTTTAGTAAGTTTTTCAACATGATGAGTTTAAAGATATACTTGTATACTTAAAAAATTCCTTGACCTAATTAAAATGAATCGTAAAATCATTGAATGTTTGATCTCAAATATTTTTTCTAATGAGTATAGTACTTATTAGAATTTAAAATATCAATTAAAATTATTGCGTTTCATAATAATCTCGTGAAGTGCAGATAAATAAGTTTTAAAAAATTTCATAAGAATATTGCTCTCAAGTATATTAGTGATGAAATATTCTAAGACTAACTTATTGCTATTTCAGTGCTTTGAGCAACTTCTGATAATAATTAATATACAGTAATATAGGTAAATAACATCAATTTAATCCCCTAATTTAAACTTGATAGTGCTGATGTAAAATAGAGATGATGTGAAAACAGAACATATGGATTTTACATAGAACACGACCTTCATACCAACAAGAAAGAGACATGGTTAGTAATTTAAATTACATTTTATATCCTCACGAATATCTAGATCTTGTTCATAAAGTTAATAAGGAATTAGCAACATTGTTAAGTTATCCTCTCACTCAATAGAATGACAAAAGCTATTTTTTTAACATCCTTAATTTCACATCAAACAAAGTGATTGTTCACATACGGTAATTCACCATTTTAATTCATGAATTCAAAAAGTAAATACTTCAGTATGAAAACGTTTTTCAAAAAGTAATTAAAAAAAGTAGGTAATCAAAACTATAATACAGTTTAAAATATGTTCTTCAGAAACAAAAAAAAAATACAAGATAACATTTGTTTTGAATGACTAAGCCCCCCTGAGTGGATTTTTTGCGAGCCGTTTACAGAATGGTACAGCCCCAGCAGCACTGTTGTGGATAGTCCGGGGCGTGGACATTCCTCTCCAGACCATAGATCCAGTAGCGTGTACTAACGTCCTCCTACGTAAGTGGACCTCAGTCACCGGAACAGCACGCAACTGTTGTCTCTGGTTAAAAGAATGTCCTCCAGTTTTATATATCAATATCATTTTTGAGATTTGGAGAGGTAAATTTTGGTCAATTTGGTCAATATATTTCATGAAGTTCAGGAATATATTTTCAGCCCTTAACAGTTGCTACATCGATGTATGTAAAGGGCTCTTTAGTGTCAATATGACTTTATTTCATAATTAGATTAAATGTTAACAATTGTTTTCCTTAAGGACATTGAAGGCTAAAAATACGCTACAGAAATTTGCATTCTTGTAAAGGCCCTTTCAATTCTATAAATTTATCTGTTTATTTACTTTAGTACCCGACTACTTTGGTGAAAATAAGTACCAGATTTGAATATCAGTAGTGGCAAATTAATTTCATCTTCTTTATGTGAAAATAAAGTTCTTTCCTCTGTAGAGGCACGGGAAGGAGAATATGAACATAGGAAATACCGTTTTCAAGTAATATTTAATTCTGCACTCCTGAAAATTAACGGGGCGCTCAAACAAAAGAATTAAGTCATAGGTGGATTTTACTAATTGATTATCAATTTTCAAACAAGTGCCATAAACTTTTATTTTCGAGTCTTTTCAGGAGAGTTGTTATTTAATTTTTTATCCATTGAAGTTGACATCAGGTCTTAAAAATCGCTAGATTTTCAAAATAGCCTGCAAATAAGTAATTGATCCATAAAAATTTCCATATGTTTAAATTCAGTAAAACTCCACACAAAAAAGCTGAAAAGAGACATTGTTTTATTTGTAATCTCATTCAAAACTGATAATTAAGATCATGTTTGCAGCTTTTTTGCTGTTAGCATATTACTGCTCTTCCAACCCCATGAAACAACAAAAAGCTTTGATGTAAATTTGTGAAACACTGTAGATGTACTACATTCCGCTGTGTATTCTTATAAGTGCCATTCTGAGAATTTAAGTAGTACATCACTAAATGTCTTGCACATTTACACATATATATATATATAATAACTAAGAATTGTGCTAAACCATATCTTTGCTAACTTGTTCAAAAATATATTTCCGCGAAATATTGCACATGCTAAATATAATAATACATTTGCAGTACCAACTCATAAAACCCAAAAAGGATTTTTTGTTTTACGGGGTAGGGTGGGGGTAATTTTCCGTTTTCCTTTGATCCCTAGAGAAAAAAAACGCAATTGTTACCAAAATAAATGAGTTATCTCTCTGTTTTCCACAATAGGTTATGTTTTATGAAAATTCACATAATTATCAAGGTACTTGCAAATGTGAAAATTCTTTCAAATGTTTTACAGTTTACAGTTTTTATGCGTTTCGATAAATTCTGAAAGAATAAACAAAATGAAATTCTCAAAATTTGACAAAAATATAAATCAAGTCTATTTTTATCATCTTTTACAGTATAATATAACTGTAAAGAAACAATAAAATGCTTTATAAACATTCCTCGCGTTTCTAATAAGCTTTTCTATAGCTGAAAAAAATATCCAAAAACTTAAGCAATAGTCAGATTTCGATGTCAATACTTTTGTAGCATATTTATTTATATTCATATATATAAACTGTATACATATATAGAAGTAAATAAAATGGAGAAATAGAACTGTAATCAAGCTCAAAAGTCCATTAAATGCAATACAAATCGGTAACAGAGGAAATAATGATCTCCTTAAACATCAGATCGAAGTGGGATCAGGTACCATGTAGACCTCCTGTCGACTAATATCACCCGTCATCTGCTCCTCGTCATGATTGTTAAAACGGAAAATTCTTCAGGAAATTTACTTAGTTAATAATGGTAACAATAAGTATATAAAAGTATATTCCAGTAAAAAAATTCATGCTTAAGGAGGCTAGGGGGTCAACAAATTATTTTCTTATTAACCACCAGATGTAACTTAAATTTTGGGATATGATATCTTAAGCTGTCAACTATCATTTGGCAAAGAAAAATTTCATAAATTTTAGTTTGAAATTTCTCATTTTATTATATCTTTATATGGAGCTCTTCTACTAAAGGAGATCAAAATAGTCTAAAAATGCCACAACCACCCAGCCTCTTTAACATCCAATCAGTAAAATTGACAATTGTATTGAGGAAGATGAAGAAAAAAGAACACTCAAACTCCTAATGATGTTTATTTAAATGAAAAAAACAGTAGAATATAATTACATTGATAAAATCAATAAAATAGAACTGAGTCGATTACCAAAATTGATTAGGAGTAATTTATTTTAACAATTACATCACCCATGGTGAAAATCAATTAAAGTATACTATTGTCAAGAATTTTTATCTATATAAAAGAGTCACAGTACTTTGTGTTAAAAAGCATATGTGTGCTACTTTTACTTGTGATTTACATGTATCTGAAAAAAGAAAAAATTAACAGATTAACAATTTGTTAGGGGATCTTGATTTAAAAAAAAATATCACACGTTTTACTGAATTTACCCTTATTTATATTGTACGAAGAATGGACAATTCAAGTTTAATGTACACTGTTTATTAAAAAACGTCGTGAAACACATAAACTTTTGATAACAAAATTGACAGTTTCAGACGAGAGACAAAGTAACTAGCAGTCACATGTCGAAGAAAACTTGGTTATCTGGTGAAAAGGAATTTTATTTCAATTAGGCAACTAAAATGCAAAATATTTTCATCAGCATATTAAATATTGTAAATATGAAATACATTTTTAAAGCGATAAAATTTCTTTCTGTTTTCAATGTACTATCACGTTCAATGTATAGGAAATCGTTTTGCTTAGAATCTTTTTTACTAGTTTTTCACAACTTTGGTTATTAAAATTTAATCTTCCGCATTTCTTACAGTACATTATGTATTCCTTTGCATGCTTAATCTTTATCAGAACGAGTTAAAATAACAGTGAATAACTTTTTTCCTTTTAATTGTTACATAGCCGTTTTTACTGATTTTTAAAAAAACAAATTGACATTTAGATTTATGTTTTTTGGATTAACAATTTTTACAATTGAGACTCGGGGACGTTTTTAGTTTAACACTGGTGCTTGTTGTAAATAATAATTTTTTTTTATTTTTCCTAGTCAGAATTGCCCACCGACCTTGTGGGTTCACAGCATAATATTTTTGTCCCTAGTCCTTTTAATTTGATTGTATATATTTCTACTGTTTGTCATTTATTGCACTTGTTTGAATAAATGACCATTCTTATTCCTTTATTTTTCTGTTACTGTTATATTTCGGGGAGACTGTCAAACAACATAAATAGACACACACACACACACACACACACACACACACACACACACACACACACACACACACACATATATATATATATATATATATATATATATATATATATATATATATATATATATATATATATAAAAATAGTTTATCCTTCAAATAATATTGTCACTCTGCAGCATATGTGACTAAATACTAGTAGCTCACAAATTATTAGACAATTGTTACCATGTGATTATAACATTCAATGTTATAGCATACTAGAATACCGTATGTCCGGTTTTTTTCCCGCGTGTTGGAAATTTTGCGAGAAAGGTGTAGATTTGTATAGTTTTTATTTTGCGTAAGTTATTTTTTTACGATTTAAGATTTAAAAAATGGTTATTTTTATGTCACGTTATGGCTGACATAATTTCTGCGTGTTTTATTTTTTGTGAATTAAAAATGATAGCAGAAATTGCGAAAAATAGATCATCGCCAAAAAAAAAAAAAAAAACTGGATATACGGTAATACAGTTAGTTATCTGATTAAAGTTATGAATAAATTCATCGTAATTTCTCTCTGGGAAGAAGACTTTTAGCGCAAATTTCATTTTATAAAATGTTACAACCACAGCAGCACTTCTGAGGATAATCTGGAGCATAAACCTCTCTACTCAAACCACAAATCCAGTAACGAGAACTCATATTCTTCCAAGCATAGTGAACCTCTATTATAGGGACAGCTTGCAATTGTTGTCTCTTTAAAAAATATCATTAGATATTGTGTCAATTAAAAAGAAACAAAGGGTGTGTCCTCTGAGTAAAGAGAATGAGAAACAAGATTATTTCCAAGGCTTATACTTGACATTTGATATTTTATTGGGATATAAATTCCAAACATTTCCTATAATTGTCAGCCCATTTTGACATAATCAAAAAAAAAATCTACTTCATAGTGAGCTTAAGGTATGTCACTCGTGCAATTTGTTATATCAAGAAATATTTGAGAAGTATATTTTGATTAAATACTCATAAAGTATGACGCAAAATCGCAGAGAAAACAGGGGTTCAATGTGCATCTTACTGAACTACGGTAAATTAAGTTGACCTTTTTGCACTTATATTTTAATTCTTTGGTTAATCACTTTAACCTTTATCATATTTTATCAGATGTAACCATGGCAATAAATATAATCTTATTCTACGTAAAATAGGATAAATAATATTTATCATTGAACAAAACTTGCAAATCAATGCTCGTAAATTATTGTGTGACCTTTTTTCACTAAAAAGTAACATTTTTGGGATATTAAAAATCTGAATAGGCAATGAAATATTTTCTTGTATCAAACTTTTTAAGACCTAATGCTGATCAGTCAAAAACATCGAGTAGTTTAAATTATTAAAGAAAAAGTTGGAGTGAGTGATGTAAATTTTGAAATATTGGTAAAATTATGCAATTTTTAGGCAAGAAACGGTGCCAATCTTATCTTGACATCATTAATATATCTTCATTTCTCGGCAAAGTTTACCGAGGGAAGGTGTATGATATGTTCTTAATTATGTAAATTGTGACATCTATTTAATATTCTGAGCATATCATAACGAAAAATCGGAAAATATTATCTAAATAAAAATATGTAAGACTAATCGGAAAATATTATCTGAATAAAAGTACGTAAGACTAAAGGTCCAAGATATTAAATACAATAAATGTGCAGATTTGCAGAATTTTCTTCTAAAAATCCTTCACAAGAAAAAGTCCCTCATAAATCTTGCTTTTTTATGAATTTTTGAGCAGTTTTTTCATTGAATGTTGAACAATTTACATTTTTTAATTTAAATTTGTTATAAAACATGAACTATAATGAATAGTTTTGATGTGAGAGGATCTGTCTAAACTTTTCTAAAAAGCTGACGAGTGACATACTTTAAACAGAATGTATTCCTCAACGTGTTTTATGGCAAAGTTTGACATCAAACTCGACATTTGTAAAAAGACCCTTTTTTCAAGAAGTTAACAACAGAGAATCGACAAAAATTAAGAGCTGAATATAAGCTCTCATTTTAAAATAACACCCTAGAATAATAGTATAGATAAACTTGCATAATATATGCATACCTGTTTTATAACCCGTTCGTTGTGGAAGGTGTTCTTATGTTCATTGACGATTCGACTTGAGGTACTGTTGACTTCAGGAACAGTGTAGGTCGTGATTGGGTTGATCTTAAAATAAAATATATTTTGTAAAGCTATCTTTAAATTGATCATCTTGATAGATCCAATTTAATATTTTTAAATAGATATCTGCAAGTGTATTACATCTTCATAAATATAATTTCATAATGAAGATCATGTTTAAAACATATTTCTTTTGTATTCCCTATTTTAAGACCATAAAATTTTATAATTACTTGAACTTCGGTTTGCTCAAACACTAATTTTCCGTCTTCTGTGTCGATAATGTAATCCGGTATGTCAGAACGATTGACAATTTGTTTTTCAAGATGATTTTCACTGCAATGTTACACAAAATTGGATGAATGTGCTTACTAGTTATAATTATGATGTTCTATAATATTTCTTATGACTTTACAATGTCAAGGTTTTTCTTTTTATTAAAATATGTCTTTAATTAATCAATACAAGTAATTGAAAAAATAAATTAATGATTTTTTTCAATTAACAAATTTCGTATATAGCTTTATAAGAATAAAAAAATACAACCAGACTGATTTGATTTAATTTCTAGTTTTACAATGCACTATATATTTGAAAAAATTATAATTTTATTCCATTACTTTCAAATTTTATCTCGCTTATCTCTGCTCAAACAAGAGGTAGTGTGAGCATTGTGTTCATGATTCCCCGCCTCCATATCTTTTTAAGGTCGACCAAAATTAAGTGTCAGATCAAAAAGTAAAATATATAAGGTGCACAATGGAACAACAATATGTAATATGTAATTTAAATAAACGATCTGTGAAAGTAAATGTGTACCCGATCTGATGTTTTGGAGGTCCATGGTTGCTCTTAGTTGCTTCTAGTTTGTATCAATATTGTAGAAAGAATGGTTGCGTTCACGTTTTGCTAAGGGAAACCCTAAATATGTGTTCGTCCCAAAGTAAAAAAGGGGGTGCCAAATTGCATTATGTAACAAAGATTCTGTGAAGTTTAAAAAAAAAAAAATTTTTAAGGCGATATAAGAGGAGTTGCAGAAAGGATATAGGTACACTATAGCGTTACGGAAGGCCATGCAGACAGGCCGACGGAAACCCCCATCATACTATTCCACCATTTTTAAGTGGGGTATAATCATATAATAAATGTAGACCTTTTATCAGATTGGATATTTCTATTTCTTAGAAAAGCATATGAAGCTCGTAATTCATGCTCGGTCGATATTATATATTATGGACAATCTCATCAAAAGGGTTATACTTGTATGGTAAATATATTAGTATTGAATGCATAGGTTCAGAATTAATAGAATAAGATCTACATTAATCTTAGAACGAAAGGGTCACAATGAGTCTCATTGATATGTAAAGGAGATGCAAGTCATGATATTGACAATAGCGGGTATATCATTTAGGGTGTCAAACTCATAGAGTCTATTGAATATTATATATTATAACAGGACAACAGCCAAAGTTAATTCCTAAAAATTAATACTGAGTATAATGCAATTAAATCATACCGATGTAACGATGTAGCTATTGTGAAGTTACTAAGATCTATAAGTGGAGTTTTTGCCATTTGGACAGTGGTATAAGTAACGGGTTTGAATCTTTACTGATAAATATAAAGAAGAAACATAAATATATGAAGAACAGCTTTTCAGAGGTTGGTGTTAGGACATTCTTTTTATATTTAGATAAATAATCCTGGGTCACATTAAAATAACACGAAAAAATACTTACAATGTTACCTTTAATTCTGTGTACTTTTTTATTTTCTTATTTCCACAACAATCAGTGCATATTATTTCTCCTTGGCCCAAACAGTTTGCACACCTTTTACATAAAAAATAAACTGCTTGGTTGCATTATGTATTGGAAAAATATACAAATGAAAAGCAATGCAAGAATATTGCAATAGCATCAAATAGACATCTTTATGCAACAAATATCAATATTTTGCACAATTTCCCTTCATTATGTTTATATTAATTTACTGTATGCTGTTTGATATTCTACTTAAGAAATTTTCACTCATTTAAAGACTTCATCACATACATGTTCAAATAAACGTCTTTAATTTACCCGGAACTCAGAGTCATTGAAAAGTTAAAGGATTCTTTTGAAAAATCGCCATGAGACATTGGTTTTAAGTTTTTTACTTTAATGAAGGTCTCTGCGACCTTTTTGTGTTTATAAAATTTCAAATACAATTACCTAATGTACCTAGAAATAAAAATCGTATGCTTACATAACTCTTCCAGAACCGAAACAGGCGATACACGTTTGGCTCATATTGCATTGATTGTAAGAATCATAGTAGAAGACTCGTCCCAGTCCTCCACAACATATACACTGTTTCTTCCCTCTGCCATCGCATTCCGTACATACAGTTTTGCCTGTTGCCGAACAAAAATGACAAACCTGTCAAAAGGAGGACATAATATTATATGCTTTTAGACACGTTAATCAAAGTATTTTAAATTGTAATAAATCGAACGTTTTCTGACTGAATACTGAGTAAGTCTCAAACACAATTACAGCAACTGTTGCCGTGTGAGGAAGTTCCATCGTTTTAATATCAAAGTGGAACATAGTACGTGGCAAACACGGAATATCCCAGACAGGAGGCGGATCACCATTCTCAGGACCATCCACAGGTCCATCTATGTACGGCGTGTGATTCGGCCCAGTCTGCCTAACCTCTGTAAATGTTTCTAGGGTATACTAAAATAAAAGTATCATTACAGTCACGTTTATTGGAAGAGAAATAATTTCCCGAAATTGCACTAATGTGCGATAATGAACAAAATGTAAAGTTTACTGTAAAAGCGGTTACGGTCTGATGGCGAATAATGCTCATTTCTGAAGCTGGTTTCGTTCCATAGCAACACTCTTTTGATGCAAAATCAAGCAATGACTGCCTGCATTCTGATTCATCTATATCACAAAGATCCGCAATGCTACCGAAAAATAATAAAGACATATTTAAGTTGTCAAATTCTGAAAGTAAATTCATATGAATTTTGCTGATTTCGGAATATTACGGTACATATCAAGAATGAAAATAAAAATGACATGATACAGTATGTTTTCAAGATAGTCTTTGAAGGAGAATTATTGAATATAGTAGCTCTATACGTCAAATTAATATTTTTAAAATATGAGTTAATTATTGAACTCTGTAAACTCCATAGGTGAAGATCGCTCAGCAACAGGCATCGGTGGAGGTGGGATAAGTTCCACTGAAATGAAAACATAACAACGTGTCAATTAGTAATCACTTATACATGAACTTTATAAAGGGTTTATTAGATAATTAGCAAAGATATCGACGTAAAGAAAACATTATAAAATACAAAAATAACACAATACGATTTGCTTGTTCTATATTTTATGCAAAGTTAAATAATTCAATTTACTTAAAAGATGACCCCTTGCTTATAAATGTTAGTTTTCACTGATATTCACTGAAAAAGACTTACTTGTAGTGTGTAAAAAATCAGCAAATGGTGAATTATAAAAGATGTTTACAGTTGTCGACTATTTTCTCAATTGATATTATTCACACTAAATGCATTGGCTTTTATTTAGAACTGTTATCAGTTGAAAATACGTAGTTAAGAATATACTAGTAGTAAACTCAAGGGCTTGTTAATGTCGAAGGATATAGTTGAGAACATTGCAAAACAAACATTACTGAGAACTTCCTTAAGCAACTTAGCTTCCTTAATTAGTTATGAATAATATGTTTGCGAATATACTCAGGAAATATTTTGGCACCTGATCCCACCTCTGATATTTTGGAGGTCCTTGTTTGCTCTGCTACTACTTTGTATTGTTTTATGGACTTTGATCTTGAATACTGTTCGTTATCTCCATTATATGTTTCACTAGCACTTCGAAATTGCTTAACCATGATATAGGGGACCAACCATGATATGTCTTAATTCCGACAACAATCTTTTGGAATTCCCATGAATACCAATTGCGCCACGTTATAAGCAGTCCTATTTTTGTATTCATATCAAGCAGAATTTGTGCAAAGTCGTATGTGTGAAAAAAAAAACCTTGCTGTGGCCTTCAACTCGACAATTAGATAACAGGTTTATCGACGACGTATTGTCAATTAACAATCATGTTAATTTCTATTTTTATATCGATACGGTATATCCTGGTGAGCTTCATGTATTAGATATCACAGAGTTTGACACATCTGTTTCATATTTGGATATTTTACTTGAAAAAGACGTAAATGGTAATCTAACAACCAAGCTCTATGATAAACGTGATGACTTTAACTTTTCTACCGTCAACTTCCCTTACTTATGCAGCAATATACCTTCATCACCTGCATACGGAGTTTATATATATCTCAGTTGATTCGATAAGAAAGAGCATACTCTACGTATAAACAATTTCTAAAACGAGGTAAATTATTGACAAACAAGTAGATGAAACCAAAAAAAAAACAAACAGCAGTCTCGTTCAAAGTCATTATTTTGTAAGTTCTATGGCCGATACAATGACCTTGTCAGCAAATACAATTTATCATTGCATGAGTCAAATGCTGACTGACGTTTTTCATACTAATTGTTAGTCCAGTATTTATACACTGAATTGACGACGGATTTTTCCATTATTTGCCGATCATGACAAGGAGCACACGGCGGGTGTGACCATTGGCAGGGGATGCTCACTCCTCCATGGAAGCTGATCTCACCTCTGATGTTATGGAGGTCCGTTTGTTCTGCTCCTATTTAATATTTTTATGGACTTTTGATCTTGAATACTGTTATCCATATGATTCACTTATTCAAAGGAGTTAAATGTCAAATATGACTTGAAGATGAGGAAAATATTGATGATGTTGACTCCATATGCAATGTTGAAATGTATAGGAAAAATATCTGGATTTGCAAAGACAATCATTAAAAATATGAAAAAAAAGGTTTCTTTTTTCGTTCTCTTTGTTCGAAAAACTTATATATTATAGCATTATAAAATTTTGTTTACCTAAATAAAATATGTATTACGCAATGATATTTGTATCATATAAAATAATCTATTTTCAGGTTTCTTTATATATTAATATACAATGTTATGAAGTGTTTTGATACTAGGAAAGACCGGGTCCAATACCCTTTTCAACATAAAGATAGTCTTCCTTATACGAATGCAATATATAATTGTTATAATCCCGGAGGAGAAATGGGAGGGAATATAGTGATCGGGATGTCCATCTGTCTGCAAATCGATCCATCTCTATGTCCGTCCTTACGTCTGTTACACTTTGGGGTACCCATTTCTTAACTGCAACCCCTCTGATACCACTGAATAAAACTTAATTAATCTTTATTATACAGTGTAATAATTTATTGTTTACCTCTTTTTTTATTTTTTTTTTTTAATTTTTTTACGTATTGCAGGTTCCCCATAGCAAAACATTTACACTGTCATTTTCAAATAATATTGAAGGGTACTCATCTCTTCTCCACTTAATTCACTGAATAAAATTGAATGAAACTTTCACAGATTCTTTTTAATAACATAATGCCAAACTCCTATTTTACTTTTTGATCTGATACTTATAATTTTGAAGGGTAACCATATCTTAACCGCAACTCCCTCTATACTACTGTTTAATTTGAATGATACTTTGATAGGTTTTTTATTACATAATGCCAATCTGCACCGTCTTTTTTTACTTTTTGATCTGACAATTATTTCGGGACTCCAAGAGCAAAACAAGGACATTGCCATTATCATCATATGGGAGGGGGTTATCATTTAGTGATCAAGAGTTTACTGCTCACAGTACCTCTAGTTTATTATGCTTTCCTTTATCTGGTTTTAAAGGTTTTATAGAACTGATTCTGAATCAATGAAAGTATCCAAGACTAGTTTTGTTTATCATGATGTCAATAAGGATATATTTTTTTTATAAAACACCTATCAAATAAAAAGATTCAATTGAGTTAGATTGCCACTTGAGCTTATCAAAAAAAATTGAAATAGGTTTTTGACTTTGTTTATTTTAGATATAAAATTTAAAAACAAACGATACCGAATGTGTTTTAAACGGTTAACCCCAAAAATGCAGGAATAAAACCAAGGAAATACTTATACATTGTCAAATATCTACTTACGTGGGGTTTGAAATCCATGTCTTTTGATTTTCTCTATTAAAAAAATACAATCATATTTTCAAGAATCATTTTCCTCTCAAAGAACGAAATCTTAGCCCCATAAAACGATTTCTATTCTACAGCATTGTAATTAATCAAATTAAGTATTTGAAGTTTCATGGTTTTTAGGATCAGAAAACTACCGAAAACGCTCCTCATCTGTTAAAAAACTTTTCGTATGCAGACAATCTTAAATTTTGTAAAAGTAGAAGGAGCAATAATTTTTCTTGGTCAACAAAAAGCATTTGATAGATTAGAAAGGGAATGGTTAGACTCTACCTTTAAAAACTTTAATTTTGGAAATAAATACTGTAACTGGATAAAAATGTTGTTAATAAATGCAAAAACCTGCATTAAAACAAATGGGTTCCTCTCCAAATACTTTACAATAACAAGATCAGCTAGACAAGGGTGTCCTATAGCTCCCTTGCTATATGTATTACAAATAGAACCTTTCGCTTGCGCCATACGCCAAAATCCCAACATTAAAGGTATACATATTCCTAATAATAATCAGCACATTGAATGCAAAATCAATATGTTTGCTGATGATACCCAATTGTTCAATAAAGACGAAGAATCTATAGAAGAATCCTTTTAAAATCTTAGAAATATATGAAAAAGCATCAGGCGCAAAAATAAATTTTGCTAAAACAAAGGGCTTATATATTGGAAAATCAAGGGGTAAAAAACCTAAATTCAATAAAATTCAGTGGACCACAACGCATGTTAAAACTTAAGGCGTGAACCATGGATACGATATTGATATTGAAGCTATATGGATGGAGAAATAAAAAAAATAACCAATTGCCTTCATGTTTGGAAAACTAGAAATTTGACATTTAAAGGAAAAACATTAATAATTAAAAATCTTGTAATTCCTATTATTGGTTATGAAATTGAAATGAGAGGCATACCAAATATTTACGGTAAAAAAATTAATGACATTATCTGGTCTTACATATGGGATCAGAAAGTAAACAAAGTAGATAGAAATGTTTGTTGCCTTAGTAAAGCTGAGGGGGGGATTAGACATGATAAATTTATTTACATTTATTAAAAGTAAACAAATTAAAACTATATACAAAATAATGCACTCTGAACTTGAAAACTGGAATGCTATAGGAAAGCTCTGGCTAAAAAGTAAAGATATTCATCCAAAACAGGAATATTTTATTTGCAATTGCTCTGATCTTATGAACATATCTCTTAATAAACTACCCACATTTTATAAAAATGCATTATTGGCATACAGTGAATTTAGATCACACTTTCCACCAGAAAGCAAAGATGAACTTTTGAAATGTCAGATTTTTGGAAATAAAGATATACAATTTCGAGGCAAAAGCCTATATGTAGAGTCTTTTATTAAATGTGGTCTACAAACTATTGGAGATATTTGGGATAATGATACTAAGACTTTTAAGACTAATGCTTACATATTTTCAAAACTACTTGATAAAAGAAGTTGGATTTTTGAATACAGTAAAATAAAAACCGCTATTTTTTTATAGCATTCTAGAAGGGAGAAATACTGTAAATAGAAAAGATAATGAAATAAATAATTTTTTTGTGATGTGTGATAATTTTTTATTTGTAAGAAAAACAAACAAGTTAATAAATTTTGAAGATATAAAACTCAAAGATATACAAAAAGTATTAAACAAAAATATCACTCCAAAATCCCAACAAAAATGGGAGAAACTGATGCAAATTGAAATTACATGAAAAAAGATTTGGGGCTCAATTTATGAAGTTAGGTTAAAACAAAAGATTCAAGAATTTCAATGGAAATGTTTGCATATCATCTTATACACTGAAGAAAAATTAAGCAAAATGGGTTTTTCAAATGGTATTTGTTTTTTCTGTGTATCAAATATTGAGAGTCAGAAACATCTATTTTATGAATGTAAACATTTCAAACCACTTTTAGAATTGGTACAAAATATAATGTTAAAAATCTCTGTAGAAAATCCAGTCAAAGTTGATGTATGTATTGTTTTATTGGGATTCGCTGTAGAACCCAAAAATGTTCGAATATGTATTAATACCTTGATTTATATATACAAGTGGTCAATATGGAAAACAAGAAACAGCATCAAGTATGAAAATAA